TGATAATGATGGGCAATGGGTTCCATGTTTTCTAACCAGATGATTTCGATACCAAGCACTCATGTTAAGGTGTGTTTGCTGAATGACAAAAAGGCGAGTTCCATCTGACGGACAATGTATTTTGAAAGTGAATTAGCTCGCATATATATAATCATCCTACACTTGTACTCCCATAGACCTTGAAGGTAGGGTTCAATTCCAATGCTAGATCCTGTATCCTGCACTGGACCGGGTTCGTGTAGTGACTCAAGAAAATCATGTCACACTCATACAATAGGAGCGACAGATAATTTTAAAGTATATATTCATTGATTTTAAAAACTAACTTGATTTCAATATTGCAAAGTTGAAACTTTGATTCGACATGGTTATCAAAATTCAATGCTTGGAAACATTCGAAGTAATGATTATTATAAATTATAAAACGCTTAAATACAGCCCCGGCATAGCACCTGAAGAGCTCTCCGAACGCTCCTGAGATGTGTGAGATCACAGTATGGACACGATTTGCACAAGCAGACGATGTCCCATGACATGACAAAATAAAGTCATCTTTTACAAACCAGGTTTTTAAAAAACGCGTCAAAACGCGTCATATGACGCATGAAAACCAAGGTTTGTCGACAAAACTCCTTTGTAAATTCGGACCAATGTGTATGTTATCTTGTTCCAACACAATTGCTCTCTTTTTGCATTGACTATTAGACAGTAAGGAAAAAAGTGATAACATCAACTTAAACTCAAAGATATGCTTATTACAAGCAAAATTTATGAAATTCTCTTCGTTATGGTGATTAAAGTTTTGCCTTCATTCTCATCCCTTGTTTAAGGTAAACTTCCAATTGAGTGATAACAAATTGATAGGGTTTATCAAGGATGTTACCTTATATTTAATGAATGTCTTTCGTCAATTTCTTCGATGTTTACCATCGTAAATGTTCTTTCTTGCATTGGGTATAAAAGTAACCTTTGATTTTTCGATCGCTATTCGATATAAATACCTTATGCTCCTTACGCGTATGAAATGGCGCAGTATACAAGTGAGCAGAGAGAACTTAGATATCATAATACAAGAAATTAGTAGACTGTTTAAAATAAATAAAGGTTATCCTGTCGATTGATACAAGCTTCTGTGAAAGCCTATTTACATCTTTTTGAACAATGAAGCACTGAAAAAGGCAGAATTTAACTTTTTTTTATTATATGGCCTCACTTTAATACATTAGTGCCTAAGGCACAAACTTGGAACAAGACGATTTTGTCAACACTTTTTAAAGACCTTGCTGCTCATTCACCCGTGGCAGAAATTATTATCAATAGGGTATCATTGGATAGGAAATAGGTTTTGATTTGATTTGATTTGATTTATTGGTTTCTGCATCTTTTTTCTTTTTTTCATCATACATTTTCATGAACATAATATGGCTTGATACAATATTTTAAGTGTATATAATTTTTATACAGATAATAAAAAAGGTTACTTTTTATCATGAAAACAATCCCAAGGTCATATTGGTTATGAATGTTCAATTAGGAGCAACCAAAGTAGGGTAAACTTGTTATTGATACACTCTGTACAATTTTACTTTGTTGAAAATACAAATATTTCAAGAGATTATTTTACAAACATTATGAACATGCAATTTCCATGAAAGTTTATCACTTACTATTATTCCCAGGAATTTCGTAGAACAGACTTTATGTATGACAGTATTATCAAGTACAGTATTTCCTGGTCAGTTATCAATAATATTAATAAAGAGCATAAACTTTTTTGTGTGTGTAAATTCAATGAAAATTTATTTGCCTTGATCCAGTCAGCATCTACTCGTAATTGATGATAGTTCATTGTTATCAGTTAAATTTCGGGGTCTTGATGAGAACACAAAATGTTAGAGTCGTCACCAAACAAAAGGAAGGGCAGGGTTGTTGAGGACATGTAAAAGTCATCAATACGTACAATAAAAAGTAATGGACCTAACTAGAACCTTGAGGCACACCACATTCAATGGTCTTTATTTATAAAGAATGTGCATCATCTAGGAGTCATATTGCTTTCTACTGTGGAGGTAGTTCTTAAACCAATCTAAGGCTATTCCTCTGATTCCGTAGTTAGACATTTTTGTATTTTGTTTTCGTGATTTATCGTGTCTAAGGCCTTCCAGAAATCCAAGAAAAAAAAAAACCGTATGGACGAAATTGTCAATAGAGCGAACCACCTTCTTTACTTAGAGTCAAAAGGGCATGTGTTATATTGTGCTTTTACGGAAGCCAAACTGTGACATATAGGAAATATTACTAGTACATAGTTATTCATTTACAACTGCAAGCCATGCATATAAACATTACCTGTTTGATTGGATAATTTATACCTCGTCTGTTTATTGCATCTGTAGTTCATAATCATTTTGTATCTTAATATGTGAAACCTATGTCCCGGATCTGCTCTCTCTATTGAAGGATTTTTTCTCGGTTCTGCATCATAATTGGATCATTAGAGTTTAAATGTGAGGTAGAATTGAGAACAGATTGATTCCTGATAAACTAAGTATAATATTACTAATCCATATGTTACTATTAAAGGTAATACAAAGTTTTGGTATGGGGTCATGAATATGGTTCAAATGAACATATTGGAAGCACATACGATCCTACAATATTCAGTGATCGTTGTCGCGGTCGAAATCGACTCTAAAGTTATGAAATTGCAAAAAATAAACACTTTATGTTGAATAGCTCCCTCTCAAGGTCGAGATATTAATTAAGCTATAAAACAATGTTTATTGACTAAAGTCGACCGATTAGCTATTAACGTTCGGAAATTATATACCACAACTACATACTCTGAGATTTTCATGGTTGCAGCTACCATTGTACGGCCGTAAGAGCTATTTGAAATTTATCAACATTTACCGGGAGCACCGGTAAATTTTTATATTCAATTTTTCTCGAAAGCGGAAGTGTTTTAGGGGCTAAAATTCTGATGTTTTTAATACATCCACAGGGGCATCCAAATATATCAAAATTGTAAAGAATCACTATCCACCCATTTTTCAAAATTTCCCAAAACTTTGTAATACCTTTAAGACATCAAATACGCTGCCAAGTAGTGCAGTGATTCCGTAACAAAGTGTTTCATCAAAGGGTTCCATAATTGTTAATGTACTTTATATGGTTAAGGTGCTCAAAATGTGCGAGCTTGTCATATTGAAAGATAATCATTTAGTAAACGCTTTAGGATCTCATCATCATTCATTCTTATGTTATGCATTTCATGTTAACCTATCATTATCTCCTCACATTCCATTCTCGTTTCATAGCAAGTTCACTACCACCATCATACTAGTACGACACAGAAACTTTACATGCAACCCAGCTATTATACCTTTAATCAAATAAATTGGTAATAATGATTAATATTCATGAATAATGATGTAAAACTGTTATCCATTTTCAATACAACAATGTATCTTCTGATGAATTTAGTTTTCACAAAGCACACCATAAATGTAGGGTACTTTTAATATGTAAATGGTACAAGTTTAGGCAAAAATGTTGATTCTTTGCAAACATTGCTGCATACTCTTAATAATGTTCCCTTTTCCATTATTGGTGTCACTGAAACTTTGGTTCATATCACTTCGCGTACTTTATTTCACTTGCAAAATCTTACATTGATCAGACTATGGCCATGTATTATAAAGCCTTGTGATTGACCGTACGGTTGCTATGGAGCGTAAGTCTATGGCTTATCGTGTATTGATTAATATAATATCAGTCATAACTCTTTATAATACCCGACCTAGATCTTGAAGAAATACAATGAGGTGGTGTCGCATGTTATGTCAATGAACATTTACAATTTAAATCCGAAAAGAACTATCTTTAAAACGAAGTGAATCATTATGTTTAGAAATATTAATCCAAACAACACACAAATAATCGTTGGATTAGTTTATACAACCCCTCATGGTCATACAGATTTATTTTGTGAAGATCTTGATATATTCTTTCATACTCTTACTGGAGAAAATAAACACTTATACTTAATTGGTGACTTCAATATTGACCTGTTATCTAATTGTAGCTACCAGGATACACTTTGTTATCCACATATAAATACACCAACCATAATTGATAGTCAATTTTCAACCCATATAGACAATATTTTGTTCATATATCTTTGATAAAAATATTACCGGTGGATCAATATATTCTGATATATCTGATCATTTGTCAATTTGTTTTAAAGTAATAATGACATTTCAATGAAAAAGTCAGCCTAATCAAACATGTACAGAAAACTCCACCCTAATAAAGTGTATCATTAAAAGTTGATCTACAAACAAAGAATGGTTGGGGTCTTTCATGAATCAAATGCAGATATGGCATACACAAAAATAAAAAAATCAAACGAAAAAAATCAAAATTACCGACATATTTTAACAATTTTTTTTTTCTAGTATCAGCTAACAAGAAAAATAAGCGTCGTAAAATGCAATGGATAACAAAAGAAATTCTACGGTAGATACACACAATGAATAAACTGTACCAGGCTTATAAAAATGAACTCTACCATTCATATAAAACATACCAATTTTTTTAAAATTAATTATAAATAATTTGATTGGAAAGAAAAAAAAATGCCCAATTAAGATTTTACAATAGTTGATACAGTTATAAAGTCTGAAGATATATCCGATACCTTTAATTCCCATTTGTAAATATAGGACCCAATTTATCAAATAAACTTGATACACCCAATGAAAAATTACTACCCTAAATATATTACTTATTACGGATATAGTATCGAAAATAAACCGCTGGTGACATTCGTTTGTCTCACAATGTATCGTCAACAAGGGATCTAAAAGATCACGACGTTTCGTGTGCCGCTGCTACAATTCGTCAGGTGATAAAATATATTGTAAGCAAGCGTCTTTTATACTCTACGGATGGACCGGGTGGACCGGCGGTCGAATAGTTAGAACAATAACGGACCATGCCTATTGGTCGAGTACGCCAATGTTCTCCCCGGGCAGGCGAGCCGAGGCGACGGCCTGTTGATTGGTTGAGCACCCGTGTGCTTTGATCAATTGGCTTTGTCCGGTATTGTTTTAATTATTGACAGCCGCTCCACCCGGTCCATCCCTAGAGTATAAAAGACGCTTGCTTAATAATATATTTTATCACCTGACGGAGTGTAGCAGCGGCACACGAAACATCGTGATCTTTTAGTTCCCTTGTTGACCATACATTGTGAGACATACGAATGCCACTAGCGATATCATTTTCGATTTAAGAGTTGTTACGAGTTATTACGAGCTATTTACGGTCTATCACGGATTGTTACGAGTTTACGAGTTGTTACGAGTTGCGACGGATAACTATGAGCAAATTACGGGCATTTCATGACCTGTTTACGAGTTGTTACGAATGGCTACTTGTTAGTTACGATTTTTTGTTGCGATTTTGTAGATTTCGTACGTTTTCCAAAATCGTATACAATACGTAAGAATACGTAAAGTATACGTACCTATTCGTAAAGTACTCGTAACTACGTGTTAAGTGCTCGTAATAGCTTGTACCATTCAGTAAAGCCATCGTAGCACGACCCCGAATAAAATCGTAAACAGCTGTATGGGCTTTGTACATGTTCTGGGCGATGCGTTCATAGCGACAGCTCCTTCACATGATGTCTTCAAGGTTGTTGATACTTCAGTTGATGCTGGAGTTTAATAGAAAATACTAAATTGTTTATTCAGTTATTCATCTATTTACTCTTTTACACATTAGATTATTTATTAAATTTTTCATATATTAATTCCTTACATCATTTATTCAATTCAAATAATCATACATGTACAGGATGGCTCATTTAAAAGTGGTCTTCTATGAGGTTTTGCTAAAGGTATAGACCAGTTCTGGGAACGCCCCCCTCTCAAAAAAAAAGAAATGGAAGCTCTTATTACCAATACGTTTTGACTAAAACGTGATGATACAAATTTTGCCGGGAACCCGCCTAGTAAATTATATAATTGGTAAATTTTCATATCTATCCGGCCAGGATAGATATCGCGTAGTCCCATATACGTCTTTATGTGTACAGCGCTTGTGACTTTACCAAGAGTGGGCCAAATTTCTTATCACTTTGAAGATTCCAGAACCTTGCAGTACACACCAATACCTATATGGTAGATGATCAACCATTTCTGATCGATTCCACTACGTTTCTTTCACAATGCAATCGCATGACAACCTCCATACCAAATTTTATTATAGACAACACTCATTAGACTGCATTATCACATAGTGACACACCATTAGGCATAATAGGATGATATATATACAACATTATGTAATCCAAATTAGTCCGTAAATAATCATAGAGCAAATTGCTGTTCTGGGAATTTGTTTTTCTTCTTCTCATTTGTTAATATTTCCAATGATTAAATGATTAAAGTTAATAATGTTTTTCTTTATTATAAAGCATTTCATAACCTGAGCTGTTATATTCTTTACTCTGTTAACCATGAACCCCCCCCCTTCAAATATTTCAATGGGCAACAACCCGTGGCCGTCACCCTGGTAAGCTAGCTCATGTAATATATACCACATCACATTTTACCCTTTCTTTATTTGAATTAAGGCGACTGAAACTCACCAAGGAGTTCTTCAAAGAGCTCCATACGAAGAGCAATACGTTCATGCCAGGTGTAAGGTAAAATGCGAACATATCGACACGATATTGGCACGGGAAAGCGATTGTAAACCACGGTGTATCGGTCACTATTGCCGGGAAAGATCTGAGGAAAACACGCAAAATCAATCACTTGATAATAGAACAACGTGTAATTTCAAAGAGAGAGATAAATGCTATAATTAACATTATTAAGAGAACAATAATAATTAAGAAACGCTCTATAAAAGAATCACATTTGACTGGTAATCGACCAATTAACTGATTAGGGTCGAAGGGTGAGTAAATTGGTACCTACGTTGTCGGTGTCAGTGTTAGTGGGGTCTTTCACTGTATCAAAGGTAGTACTGTCTATACTGCAGGCAATCTTGAAGCTGGTTACCCACTGGGAATAATCCTGACGACCTTGTGTTGCAACTCCTACGATGCTGTACGTAGCTAAAAGATCAACCTGAGATTTGAATGATAATGATATCGAAAATGGAAATAGTAAGAACTGTGTTTGTATATATATATACAAACTTGTTGTATTCACCCTACGTGAATTACCTCGTTAATTCCACATGAACAAAATTAGCAATAGTTAATACTAAAGTCCGGCTAACATAATAGCGGCAAACGACGGAATCACAACGAAGCTTCATTTTATTCTGACGACTGCTCTAAACATTTGTTTGGGGATTTTGGGCATTAAGACCTTGCTGTTGTTCGTTTTTTTTTGTAGAGGGTGGTATTTCCGGAATTTGTTGACATTTTCTGTTTATTTAATTAAAACTGTGTCCATTTCCTGAAGAAAGTTCTTCAATAGAATGCAGATGTTGATTGGTCTGGTGTTTCAATTGCGGGTAGCTCATTCTTGCATGCTTGATCGGAAGTATTTATGTCGATTAGTTAATATGTACCTATAGTAATACAGCTCAGCGCTCGGAATGGGTGTGTGCATCAAATACATGTATAATTGAAAATGTTGTTGATCATGAGCCCTGAAAACGTCGGGATTAAATGTTAGATATAGATAGTTGAACAGATTTACAGTCTGTCAGTGTTTTTGGAAGGAAATAACATTTGAAGGAATATTTGTTCTTGTGATCTCTTGGTTGAGCGAGTAACAAGGTAAGACAGGTTTCGTGTTGTGACGGAGAGATACCCTTTATGAGCTTGAGAAGCTTCAGGAGTGAGACTTCAAACAAACAAGAAAAAAATTCAGGAATAGAGACTGACCTGAATCCACTGGTTCAAATCGTTTGTTTTGGCAGACCATCCTCCATACAGGGCTCCGTCTCTGGCTATGTTTAACCGTCCTCGAAAAGGACCGTGGTTGGCGTCGTACTCACTAGAAGCTGTTAAGCTCGAATCTGGGATTGCCCCACTTTCTAAGCCTATAGGGCTAGCATCCTGGAAATGCCCTATTTTCAAAGAAAGAAACTTGGCCTAAATGAAATAGATTCATTTGTTCTTACAAAAGTCATGTATCTAAAAATAATACATACTGACAGGAGCTGCATGCTCTTTTAACGCAATAAAGTTACTGGACATCACTCATTAGTATTTTAATTGAATTTCTTCCTATTTAATTCATAACGTCTTCGAGTTTATATAGGCAACATGGTGTAACCGACAAATAAATAAACGTGAAAATGAGAGCACGATTAACATCTAAAGTACTAAACACTTACTCATATATAGATGTGCCCTTTTACCAAAAAATCCCAAGAAAATCAAGAACAAGGAAAAGAACAACAACAACAACAAAAACAACAACAACAACAATCAAACCATTTATTTCTTTACCAACAGGGATTAAAGATGTCACAGTTTCTGAGTGTACAGGTGTCAGTGTTGGGTTTGTCGAGGGTTTGGTCGTTGCTGTAGGAATAAGAGTGGGGACTATTGAGAACAAAGATTACAATAATGACTGGGAACTGTGAGGGACGGAAAGATGAACGATGGCGATGAGGTAAAATTGTGTTAACAACGAAATGTATATATTAATGATGAACAGTACAAAATAGTGTAAAATACACAATAAACAAACAACAACAACAGCAACAATAACATTAACAACTAAGAAGATATAAGAGCAAGTAGGAAAAACTTCTATTTGGTAGGGTTTAAAAAAATTTCCGGACATGTTCCAATCGGCAGGTGTTAAGCAACGACTATATGGACCATTTTGAGTGGAGCAGGAATGATATTCTAATACTATGAGATTTAAGTAGTTTGGTTATGAGTACTGTATTCTTACGTATGAACCAAAGCACCATTTCTTTTCTTGGGTCAATGCAAACACTACTTTGCATAGTTCTGAATGCATGTATATCAATTAAGATCAGCAACCCCATTACATTCTTAAGGCTTAATTCGTTCCACGATGCTTTCGCATCGGATCGGGTAGTCTAGTTACACGAACATTTGCGAAAACATTCCCCCCATATATCCATGAAAGGTCGGGTAATTCAAATGATAATGCTAATCTTTTACACATTTCTGAAAACTATCCAATGCAATGTCGATGTGTCGATAGCTAACTATTTTACTAACTCTTATGTGGATTATTCACCTCGTATTCAAAAGTATGGGGTCAAGTTGCGACTTTTTGTAGATTTGCTGTAAGTCTTTTAGAAAATGTTCGGGTATACTTGACATAACGCTTTGGTGATACGAGGAGTGCATTCACAAGTGCTGCATGGGGAATTAGGGGTTGATCATTCACAAAAGTAAGTTGATTTTTGTTGTTATTCTCTTATTCTAACTAAAATACTTCATTTCATCAATGTTCAGTATGAGATAAGACACTGAACGAATCATACCTAAGGGGCCTATTCTTGGACTGTTATAATTATGTTGGAGTTGGGATATAAATCTGTTATTCAACTGTTTTTTTTAAACCCGCTTAAATCTGATCAAGGTAGCTGTGGTATTGATAACAGCCTTCCCATAACTATAGTGCCCCGAGTAATATCGAGTTTATCATCTTGCTCACCTGTTAATTGGTGCTCACTGATATACTTTTTACTCGGGTTAAGATTTATTAGAAGCATCCCTTATGTAATTCCGCATAATGGTGAGAGATCCGTAAAACGACACCCCCAAAAGTGGTTTTCGATATTCAGTTCATTTAGATTATAACGTGTTTAGCGTACCAGCAAAATATTATATAGTGGCGTAGAGAAGAGCAATTAACTATTAAGTATCGTTGCTTTAAAGTGCCCGTTCAAAGAAAATCACAAATATGGCAAATAACGTATCACTAGAAACTGTTAGGCTAACAGATGGCAATCGTACGAGTTTAGCTCAACTACATATCGGGTGATTTATAAAAAGATAAATAAAACCAAAAACATAGCATTTAGGTTATACGAGAGATTCTCCAGAAAAATAAAGATTTTTTCAATGAAATCACATTATTAACCGGTTTCGCCCAACCAGACGACGAAGAATAAACATAATTGCAATGCTGTTAGTTCTCACATTATAATGAGTTTAGTGTATATAAATGTGATGGCATTTTACACCATTCAAACGGAATATGAAACCGATTCTGATGAATAAATTCTTGTATTTTAAATACACAGGATAAGGTTTAATGAACAATCAAAACAACCACACTTTCAAATTGGAACCACCCCCCCCCCCCCGAATGATAGCGTAGACGGCATTTGTTCCCTCTTGAAACACCGAACATACTGCGGCGTATGCAGCTGGATATACAATGACTTTATTATTTTATCCCTGCATTTTTCATCAAAATAATTCCATGCGGGGGGTCTAGAGTAAAGCAATAGATTAAACACTAAAGCATATCAATTCCTTTCATAGCAAAAGTGCTCCTCACAATTTCTGTAAATTTGACAGTTTAACGCTACAGTTCAACGCCTTGACCGGACTGTGCGGTATCTGTGCAGTTCTGTGTGTAGAGAGGTCGGGCCGTATTCATTATTTCTTGGGGGTGCATAAATTGCTCTAATTATACGTACGCGTGTAATGCGCAATTTCATTGTGACGGCACTAAACCCATCCCACTCATTGGTCCCCTATTTTCATAATGGTACTGACCCAATGAAATGTGCAGTGCGCTCGTACGCGCTGCGCTGCGTGTGTACATGTACTGTACTTATGCATGTTCAGTTATATGTGTATGCATAGCATTACGTACATGTATGCATACACGGCTAGCTGGCACAAAACCCTGGTTCGCGCTTCTAAAATGGGACATGAATGATTTGACATGAAAATTGACGGGGCTAAAAATGAATCAATCAAAATGAGCTTTATATGTATGAAAAGCTTACGTATTATATGTCATTGTCTGGGATTGAGGATTTACAAATTTGACGCAAAACGCGTTGCTGCAAAGTTGAAGATTGGTATATTGAAAGGCAATCGAGCACAGTGCGACCGATCAATGGACATTATGTATGAGAAAGTAAAACAAGTTAAATGGATTGTAAAGTTTAACGTCAAAATGACGGAGGTTTTTTTTCAAGTAAGGGCATGGTTTTACATGGAATGTAAAGGAAATGTTTCCTTCTTCTCATATCTCGATTGAGGATATTATACTCAATTTCGATTTTTTATGGTAAAGAAAAGTGTAAAAAGATGTCGAGAATTTTACAATATGTCATGTAATATAAAATGCGCGCCGGTCGGTTGATCTCCCAAAAGGAGCGCGAAGGAATTGATATGTTAGTTTTAAAAATCAATTAACCTTCTCTTTAATGGTCAAAGATCCACAAATGCCTCTGCGATCGTGTAACATTTGAAACCTTCAAAGTATAAGTACACTCTACCATGAAAATATGAAGGATTATAAGCGACTCGAAAATACGGTGAGAAATTAATTAAAGTTTTACTAAATCGAAGAGTACATTCTGTATATGGTACACGTTGGATTAATGATGTAATTTTTAGCAATTCAGATAATAATTTTCCAGAAATACCATTATAGGATCAAAAGGACCTTTGGGAGTTAAGCAATGAATAATATAGTGTGTGTGTGTGTGTGTGTGTTTGTGTGTGTGTGGGCGTGTGTGTGTGTGTGTGTGCGTCCCCATTATTCTCGTATTGCAACCCTTGGCTATTAAAGATTGCATGTATAGTTCCAGATACTACTTTTAAAAAAGTTAAGGGAAAGGGCATCGTTCTTCCAAAGTTTTCATAGGAAAAAACGAAAATCTGTACTAGAATTGTTATTATTCAGAAAATAGCATCGAATTAATGATCATCAATTGTTGCATTACACTGAAGGTCCATCGGTCTTGAAAAGTAATACAGTTTATAATTCTTAAGCTAAGTAATTCTGAAAATTACACGGGGGTTTTATTGCACCCAATAGAACAGGAAATTACCAATATTCTGAAACCGCTATATAATATTCCTGAAGCGAGATGCTCTTTTTTATTTCAATATTATTTGATTCCGTATATTTTGATAATTCTGATAATTAGATGAGGTTATCATGGCATTAAAGGTGGATTTTTTTTCCTAGCTAGCTTCAATAGCTCAACAAAAACCATGAAACAAACTGGAAAGTTGGTTTTCTAGCAAGAGACGTTTGATATTCTATCGATCCATTGGCGAAATTGATGGGGCCTTATACGTATATGGGACTACATGTAAGTGATTACTTAAACATATTTGGGCTTACACCCAGTAAATGAGATCGATTGATCGATCTGTTTTGAAAAACAATACACAAATATGTTTGAATAATTGAAATTTCTCACAGAAAGCATTACATTTATATATTAAAAAATGTAAGTGATTGTAGTACAGTTACTCCCAGTTTACATTTAGATAAATGTTTAGTAGTAAACTTTACTCTATTTATTACTTACCACAGCGCCCTCCAGTACAACATATTGATACAATGATCAAAATTAAAGCAGCTGCGTCCTGAAACATTACTGAAGCCGCCAATAAAATCACTCGAAAATATCAAATGGTAAACACCTTAAATCAAGCAGTGAGGCATATAGACTATACTGTCTCAGAAATGATCTGACCATCCATCTGAGGAGCTTCAATTATTCATTAACTAAATGTAGTTGATATTATATAACGAATATAAAGATTCGAGGCCTCTGATTGGTCAAAACTGCAGTCATGATATTCACTACTGACTGTTTAGGTCAATGATCCAAAACCAGCAACTTTTATTAGTTTCGACTGTCTACTGTCTGTTTTCTCCTTCATTTTTTTTAAAATGCATTATGTCTCTGCTCGTATTCACTACTCATTTCTTTATTATTTAGTATTCATGACGTATAATACCTGAATTTCTTGAGTTTTTGTGATATCTGTTCTTTATTCTTGCTTCATATAGTGTCAGATTTAATGGTACAGTTTAAAGAAAAGTACTATCGTGTGTCTGTTTTTAAGAATATTATGGAAGAAAGTGTGTTGTATAATAATATATATTGATAGGAAATAATATCAAGCATTCTGCTTATGATAGTTGTCCTCTGGATTTATCTTGAAAATAAAAAAAAATTAAAAAAAATCCTCTGGACGGCCATGCATTATGGCTCAAGGCATGGGCACACAGAGGATTTTTTTAATGTTGGGAACCGGGGTAAAATGCAATAAATTGTTGAAAATTTATTGCATTTTTTTTTTTTTTTTTAAATTTATGGAAACAGCCCCTATCCTAGCCCCCGCTGCGTACAGTCATGGTTCAGTGACAAAGCAATGGCCTCGTAACTGTGAGGCCCCAGGATCAAAACCGTGTCGATATGTTATATTAGTTCCCTTTTATGGGGCATTAATCCTAATTACTGTCATTTATGACTTAAGGGCGTAGGTCTTCTAGTTGATAAGCATAGTATTATACACATGCTTTAGCAGTCACGCAAAACACACATTGTCAAATTATTATTCAGTAAAATCTGGGAATGTATACTATTATCTAGATCTATTATTTTAAAATTATTTTTAAATTAATTCCATGAATTGGGATAAAACACAAATATTCCAACTTAATGAGCGACAGTGTATATATCTATATATATATATATATATATATATATATATATAATATATAAAGAGCAACAGACAGAGAAAAAGAGATAGTGAGAGAGTGTAAGACCCGAACAGACTGACAGAAAGACAGAGGCAAACAGACAGTGAGAAAGTGAGAAAGCAAGAGAGAGAGAGAGAAACAGACAGACAGAGGGGGAAGAGAGAGAAAGCGAGAGAGAAGGGGGAGGTAGGGAAAACAATATACATGTAATCGTACATTTTAATCTCGGATCTAATTGTGAGCTTTTACAACGTTTCGCAGTTTGTTCCATATCAATTACTTGTGTTCGTTGTCATCAGTAGTAGTGTCATACGTAGTAGTAAATATTGATGTTCACATATCAAGGCGTTGACTTTAGTTCGGAAGGGGTATCTGTAAGCATCGTCTGCAGAGAACGAAGAGGGCGATGTCTTAATTGACATGAATGAAAATTAGAGCAGGTAAAGGCATCGTTTAACAATGTTAAATCTAAAATGCACGGCCCTACGTGTTATCAGTGTCTCTGATATGGTGTGATATTGAAGCCCTAAAAGAATTGCACTTCAAAATGATCAAGAAGTACCTCAAAAAACCAAAAATATTTGAGTGACCGGTTTTACCATACTTGTTTTCCCCAACTTGTTTTCCCCAGTAGACTGTACTATGTTATGAAAACCGTTTGGCAAACGGTTTTAAAAATGTGTAATTCCAAACATAAATATCTTGATAATCAGACAGACGATCGGCTTGCAAAAGTCATGCGGTTCCTGGCTGACCTAAAGGTTTATAATTATCACTGCAGCATGAGCTAAATCCAGGACTTTGTTTCAGAATCTGGGACAATGTAACCGGATCCCTTTAAAGAGAATCAAAACTTGTTGTTGATAATGCTGGGCAATGGGTTCCATGATTTCTAACCAGATGTTTTCGATTTAAAGCACTCATGTTAAGGTTTGTTTGCTGAATGCCAAAAAGGCGAGTTCCATCTGACGGACAATGTATTTTGAAAGTGAATTAGCTCGCATATATATAATCATCCTACACTTGTACTCCCATATACCTTAAAGGTAGGGTTCAATTCCAATGCTAGATCCTGTATCCTGCACTGGACCGGATTCGTGTAGTGACTCAAGAAATTCATGCCACACTCATACAATAGGAGCGACAGATACTTTTAAAGTAGATATTCATTGATTTTAAAAACTAACTTAATTTCATATTACAAAGTTGAAACTTTGATTCGACAAGGTTATCAAAATTCAATGCTTGGAAACATTCGAAGTAATGATTATTATAATTTATAAAACGCTTAAATACAGCCCCGGCATAGCACCTGAAGAGCTCTCCGAACGCTCCTGAGATGTGTGAGATCACAGTATGGACACGATTTGCACAAGCAGACGATGTCCCATGATATGACAAAATAAAGTCATCTTTTACAAACCAGGTTTTTAAAAACGCGTCGAAACGCGTCATATGACGCACGAAAACCAAGGTTTGTCGACAAAACTCCTTTGTGAATTCGGGCCAATGTGTATGTTATCTTGTTCCAACACAATTGCTCTCTTTTTTCGTTGACTATTAGACAGTAAGGAAAAAGTGATAACATCAACTCAAACTCAAAGAAATGCTTATTACAAGCAAAATTTATGAAATTCTCTTCGTTATGGTGATTAAAGTTTTGCCTTCATTCACATCCATTGTTTAAGGTAAACTTCTCATTGAGTGATAACAAAATAATAGGGTTTTTCAAGGATGTTACCTTATATTTAATGAATGTCTTTCGTCAATTTCTTCGATGTTTACCATCGTAAATGTTCTTTCTTGCATTGGGTATAAAAGTAACCTTTGAGTTTTCGATCGCTATTCGATATAAATACCTTATGCTCCTTACGCGTATGAAATGGCGCAGTGGACAAGTGAGCAGACAGAACTTGGATATCATAATACAAGAAATTAGTAGACTGTTTAAAATAAATAAAGGTTATCTTGTCGATTAAAACAAGCTTCTGTGAAAGCCTAGTTACATCATTTTGAACAATGAAGCACTAAAGCACGAGGCACAATTTAACTTTTTGTATTATATGGCCACACTTTAATACATAAGTCCCTAAGGCACAAACTTGGAACAAGACGATTTTGTCAACACTTTTTAAAGACCCTGCTGCTCATTCACCCGTGGAAGACATAATTATGAATAGGGTATCATTGGACAGAAAATAGGTTACTTTTTATCATGAAAACAATCCAAAAGTCATATTGGTTATGAATGTTCAATTAGGAGCCACCAACGTAGGGTAAACTTTTTATTGATACGCTCTGAACAATTTTACTTTGTTAAAAATACAAATATTTCAAGAGATTATTTTACAAACATTATGAACATGCAATTTCCATGAAAGTTTATCACCTACTATTATTCCCAGGAATTTGGTAGAAAAGACTTTATGTATGACAGTATTATCAAGTACAGTATTTCCTGGTCAGTTATCAATAATATTAAAAAAGAGCATAAACTTTTTTTTTTGTAGTATCAGCTTACAAGAAAAATCAACGTCGTAAAATGCAATGGATAACAAAAGAAATTCTACGGTAGATACACACAATGAATAAACTGTACAAGGCTAGTCAAAATGAACTCTACCATTCATATAAACAAAAAAATATAAAACATACCGAATTATATTAAATTAATTATAAATAATTTGATTGGAAAGAAAGAAAAAAAAATGCCCAATCAAGATTTTACAATAGTTGATACAGTTATAAAGTCTAAGATATATCCGATACCTTTAATTCCCATTTGTAAATATAGGACCCAATTTATCAAATAAACTTGATACACCCAATGAAAATTTACTACCCTAAATATATTACTTATTGCGGATATAGTATCGAAAATAAACCGCTAGTGACATTCGTTTGTCTCACAATGTATCGTCAACAAGGGATCTAAAAGATCACGACGTTTCGTGTGCCGCTGCTACAATTCGTCAGGTGATAAAATATATTGTAAGCAAGCGTTTTTTATACTCTACGGATGGACTGGGTGCCGGACCGGCGGTCGAATAGTTAGAACAATAACGGACAAGGCCTATTGGTCGAGTACACCAATGTTCTCCCCGGGCAGGCGAGCCGAGGCGACGGCCTGTTGATTGGTTAAGCACCCGTGTGCTTTGATCAATGATTTTGACGATGATTTATTTCTACTAGATCTAGATAAAAGTATACATTCTCAGATAACAACTGGGGAATATGGGAATAATAACAACTGGGGATAATAACAACTGGGGAGTGTTTGTTTTGCGTGAATGCTAAAGTATGTTTGTGCTACAGTGCTCATCAACTAGAGGACCTACGTCCTTAAGTCATAACTGACAGTAATGGGGATTCAATAATTCATTGTATTTTGCCCGACCCCCAACATTAAAAAATCTTCTATGTGGGCATGCCTTGAACCATAATGCATGGCCCTACGGAGGAATTTTTCCTAAAGTAATGAATTGTAAATAATACACTCTTTATGTTGTATAGCTCCCTCTCAATGTCAAGTTATTAATTAAGCTATGAAACAATGTTTCTTGACTGAAAGTGACCGATTAGCTATTTTCGTCTGGATATTATATATCACATCTACATATTCTGAGATTTGCATGGTCGCAGCTACCATTGTACGGCCGAAGGCGCTTTTTGAAAGTCATCAATTACCGGGAGCACCGGTAAATTTTATACTTAATTTTTTTCGAAAGCAGAAGTGTTTTAAGGGCTAAATTTTCAAGTGCTTTCAATACATCCACAGGGACCTCACTCATTAGCATTTTATTTGTATGTCAGCAACTTTTGAATACATTTCGTAAACAATCAAAGAGAAATTGCAGGCAGTATGTCTTTTCATGGCCTAAATATTGTGCCTAAATCTACTGACATGACTGTAGAGCTGATGAAAGGTTTCCTTTAAATAATGATTTTTCTTTTTCTTCATATTTGTCTCGAAATATCACTGTTCTGAAATATTTTCAACAACAAAAAATCAGGGTGCGTTCCGCGGGCAATAGCCCGGGGTGTCATCCTACTAGCTCATCTACAAACTCACCAAGGAGTTCTCCAAATAACTCCATACGAAGGGAAATATGTTGATGCCATGTGTAAGGTAAGAGGCGAACATATCGACACGACATTGGCACGGGAAAGCGATTGTAAACCACGGTGTTTCGATCACTATTGCCAGGAAAGATCTGAGGAAAACACGCAAAAAGAACAACGTGTAAATTCAAAAAGAGAGATAAATGCTAAGATTAACATCGTGAAAAAAAAGGAATTGAGAAACGCTCAATAAACGCATCACACTTGACTGGTAATCGAACAATTAACTGATTAGGGTCGAAAGATGAGTAAATCGGTACCTACATTGTCGTTGTCGGTGTTAGTGGGGTCTTTCACTGTATCAAAGGTAACATTATCCATACTGCAGGCAATCTTGAAGCTGGTTACCCACTGGGAATAATCCGCACGACCTTGTGTTGCCACTCTTACGATCCTGTATGTAGCTAAAAGATCAACCTGAGATTTGAATGATAATGATATCGAAAATGGAAATAGTAAAAACGGTTTTTGTATAAACACATATATGTACAAACTTGTTGTATTAACAAGACATCTATTTATATAACCCTAAGGAGTTCCTTCGTTAATTCTTCATAAAAAAAATAGCAATAGTTAAACTTAGCAATTTGTTTTTGGATTTTGGGGCATTTGAACTTGTTCTCCTTCCCTTTTTCTTCTGTTTTTGGTGGGGGAGGGGGTGGGGGTATTTTTCGGAATTTGTTGATATTTGTTGTTTATTAAATTAAAACTATGCCCCTCATCTAAGAGAAGTTCTTCAATGGACTGTAACTGTTGATCGGTCATGTATTTTATTCTCACAATACTCGGCTTTGTAACACATTTCATTCATGGAAAGTAAAATGTTCATTCTCTCAAAAATCTGTAAGACATAGTTTGCCAAACAAATGGAACACTCTACCTCCAGTCATTCGCCTATATAAAAACAGTCCAATGTTTAAAAATTAAATAAAACTGACCTTTTATTTTGAATACCATTAAATTTGCCTTCTAAACCCTCCCCCCTCCAATTTTAAATTATTTCATACTCGTTTTGTAGTGTTTTTATTTCTTTTTATTGTGTTTATCGCTGTATTTTGTGATATCTTTAACTAATATATGCTCAGTAATATAAATAATATAAATTATAATATTCGGGGAACTTCTTATACAAGGCCATCATGGGCTTTTCCTTTTTTCTCCCATTTCATTTGAAACTATTGTATTAACTGAATATTCTTTGTATCTATATAACCTTGTATGTTTTTTTGCATTTGTTGTGTTTTCTATGAAAAAGAAATGAATAAACGAACTCGAACTCGAACTATTCTTGCACGCTTGATCGGAAGTATTTATGTCGATTCGAGAATATGTACCTCTAGTAATACGGCTCAGCGCTAAGACTGGGTGTGTGCATTAAATACTAAATTAATACATGTATAATTATAAATGCTGTAGATCATGAGCCTTGATTACGTCGGGATTAAATGTTAGATATAGATCGTTGAACAGATTTACAGTCTGTCAGTGTTTTCAGAAGGAATTAATATCTAATGGAAAATTTGTTCTTGTGATCTCTTGGTTGAGCGAGTAACAAGGTGAGACAGGTTTCGTGTTGTGACGGAGAGATACCCTTTATGAGCTTGAGAAGCTTTATGGAGTGAAACTTCAAACAAACAAGAAAGAAATTCAGGAATATAGAGACTGACCTGAATCCACTGGTTCAAATCTGTTGTTTTGGCAGACCATCCTCCAGCTTGGGCTCCGACTTTAGCCATGTTTAACCGTCCTCGACGCGGACCGTGGTTGGCGTCCCACTCACTAAAAGCTGTCAGACTCGAATCTGGGATTGCCCCACTTTCTAGGCCTAGAGGGCTACCGTCCTGGATAGGGCCTTATTTTCAAAGAAAGAAACTTGGTTTAAATGAATTAGATCAATTTGTTCTTACAAAAGTCATGTATCTAAAAAATAATACATATTGGCAGGAGCTGCATGGTCTTTTACGCAATAAAGTAACTGGATATCACTCATTGGTATTTTAATTGTATGCATATGGCTCCGTTTAGTCTCATTTCACAACGCCCCCTATCGTCAGAGTCAGCAGCCTAACATGTTAGCCTATGGAATTTTGCCCCCCGAAATCGTTAACAATTTTTGTTTTTTTAAACGAAAAGCACATCCACCCCGACGTACGTTATCACTAGCTCTTTCATTTGAACCCTCATGTCCCATTGACTTTTGAAAGTTCACTCACCGTTATTTGATCAAAATAGGTTGCAAGATCGTCATTGCCTATAATACACATGTGAAACAAGTCGAACTTTGGACTCAGTTTGCCAAGCGATTTTAAGATTATAGGTCAAGCACACGAAGGATAAGAAGCATGAATTATCATAGATCACTTCTGCTTGGTTCATTTAGTCCATTTCATCCAACCCCCTCCCCCCCCCCCCCCCACCGTAATTTTTCCATTTAGTAAAAGAAAACATGAATATTCATGAACGGTCAGACAATACAGCCTTTTAGTACGTAACGTATAGTGAATAGGAATGGGCGATGATCCGTCCAGGAGGTAGAGGTCAGTGGTTTGTGCTGGCAATGTTCCAGCGAACGAAAATGAGACAACCGGAGCGATATGTCTACAAATAATGAAGACATTTCTTTGAACAAAAAAATGTTTGCAGTGCAAAGAAATATCGATGTCTGGAAATAAGTTTACACATCATTAATTACAAAAGTGACACAATTACTATTTTGCATGAAAAGCAAAAGCAACAACTTTAAACTGCTTCATCTTATTCCCTGTTAGCATCCAATGCTCCCATCTTTACAAAAAAAAATCCTGTGTCAAGATATGAACCAGAAATACACTACATGTATATCCGTGCAGGACCGAGACTCGAATCTCAAACCTATACATCAACTGCCAAGTTTTGAAACCACTAAAGCACCACAGTTTCGACTCTGACACTTCTTGTATAAATGATGTCTTCGAGTGATATCTGTTTCATAAACAGTCTAGGCCTACTGTCAATTGCATTACCTTTCAATTATCCTACTGGTGAAAATATTCACAATGTATCTCTTTTTTTTATTCCCCTTTCATTGGTTTAGATGGATGTTTCATCCATAAACAAGTATATCATTTGGCAATGTGTTGGCCTCGGTTGGCTCGTCCACTATTTGATTATAATCAGCCCTCCCCCCCTCTATTGTTCTCATCTACGTACATGACTTGTATATGCATATGCTTTAACTGATGCTGGTATCGTTTGTTGCTTTTATCTCTTCAATTGCTATCTTTATTTAAAAGAAAAAGATATGCCTAATCCATTGCCTCGGTAGTAAACAACACATAATTGTCTTTTCATTAATTTAGTCTTCGAGGTTAAATAGCTATTGAGTTCATAACGTCTTCGAGATTCTACAGGCAACATGGTGTAACCGACCAATAAATAAACGTGAAAATAATAGCACGATTATCATCTAAAGTACTACAAACTTACTTATATATCTTCCCCTCTACGAAAAAATCCCAAGAAGATCCAGAACAAGGAAAAGAACAACTACAGCAACAACAAACACAACAACAATGAAACAATTTTTTTTTTACCAACAGTGGGTTGAGATGTCAGAATCTCCGACTGTACAGGTGTCAGTGTTGTTGGGTTAGTCGTAGGTTCGGTCGTTGCTGTAGGAATAAGAGTGGGGACTATTGAGAACAAAGATTACAATAATGACTGGGAACTGTGAGGGACGGAAAGATGAACGATGACGATGAGGTAAAATTGTATAATTTTATATAGTAATGATAAACAATAACAAAAATAGTTTAAAAAAAACAATAAACAAAACAACAACAACAGTAACATTAACAACTAAAAAGATATAAGAGCAAGTAGGAAGAAGCGCCATGAGAATTAACTCGGAGCATATTTGTTAAAGCTCCTTTCGTTTAGGGATATGTTTTTGGATATCTGGACCACAACGCGAAATTTAATATAATTTACTTGCAAGTTAAATGGCAATGCAGTTAGTTAGCTCTTAAATCCTGTTAAGGTACCCTACCTAAACAGTTTTGCTTAGAGTAGATATTCATTGATTTTAAAAACGAACTTCATTTACATTATTGCAAAGTTGAAACATTGATTCGACAAGGTTATCAAAATTCAATGCTTGGAAACATTCGAAGTAATGATTATTATAAATTACAAAACGCTTAAATACAGCCCCGGCATAGCACTTGAAGTGCTTTCCGAACGCTGCTGAGATGTGTGAGATCACAGTATGGACATGACTTGCACAAGCAGACAATGTCCCATGACATCTCACACATTTTCAGTGCCTGTGTTTTCAACTTCTCTCGAGTTCTGTCTCTTACTTCACTACCGTCAGGCTAAATGTATAATCTATTGCCTCACTCTAAACCCCGCGCATGGTTTTATTTTGATGAAAAATGCAGCGATACAAAAATAAAGGAATCTGTCGCTTGTAAACAAAATAGGACGCCATTGTATATTCAGCTGCACACACCGGGGTATGTTCGGCGTTTCAAGAGGGAACAAATGCCGTCCTTAATATCATTCCGGGGGTTTTTCAATTTGAAAGTCCGGTTTCTTTGATTGTTAATTAACCCCTATCCTGTGTATTTACAAGCAAAATATTTTAGTTATCAGAATCAGGTCATATCCCCTTTTGAATGGTTTGACATGCCATCACATTTATATACACTAAACTCTTTATAATTTGAGAAATAATAGCTTTGCAATTATGTTCATTCTCTATGGGATGTCGTCTGCTTGGGCAGTGTTGGTCCATATAGTGACGACATTAAAACATCGTTTTTTTTCGGCGAATCTCTCGTATATCCCAGCTGCTATGGAGGTGGTTGTATTTGTATTTTTATAAATCACCCGATATGTAGTTGACCTAAAGCTTGTACGATGGCCATCTGTTAGCTTACCAGTTTCTAGTGATACATTAGTTGAAATATTTGTGATCTTCTTTGAATTTCACCTTTAACTGGGAGGGTTAATGTAAACCACACTGACGGAAAATGTCATTAAAATAAGGAACCCAGGATGTGTATTATTGATGTAGGAGAAAAGCATCACAATAGTGTCGGATCGAAGGTCGTCATGAGTGCACGTGAGAAAAAGATATGTGCCCCAAGATTGTAGCCCGTTAAGCTTTTCAGAGAACTTCTTTTTTTATTTGTTTATTTTATTTTTTATTTTTTTATTTCAGGACATGTTCCAGTCGGCAGGTGTTAAGCAACGACTACATGGACCATTTTGAGTAGAGTGGGAATGATATTTTAATACTGTGAGATATACCTAGTTTAGAATATTTAAAATACTGTAGTCCTACATTAACCAAAGTGCCATTTCCTTTCTGGGCGCAATGTGAACACTACTTAGATCAGCGAAAATGAGGTGTCGTGGTCGAGTGGATACGTCGCCGGACTGTCGATCGCAAGGTCCGCGGTTCGAGTCCCGCCATTGCACTAATGTCCTTTGGCAAGACATTGATCTACATTTGCCACACTCAACCCAGGTGATGTAAATGGGTACCTGTTAGGAATTAATTCCTTGAAATGCTGGAGCGCTGTATAAACGGCTGCTAGGCTAAAGCCAGGGTATTAATAAATGTGCCTCGGAATAGTAATATATAGAGATGGCGCTATAAAAATGCTCCCATCTTATCAAAGTTGTGGTAGTGTAACACCAAGCAGTGTCTTCATTATCCGGGTTTCTGCAATAGTTTTCGTCCAGTTCCGCGTTAGGATAGTTAGCTGGAGTCCTAGTGTGATTGTGGGGATACTGAGAGGTCCATGCTTGACAAGTATGATTGTTGATTGTCTGAGATAAGTTTCCTCTGTATTTCACTCCTGTAAGATCTTCCTGACATGCAGGTGCGTCTTAAGAAATACAATAAAACGATATTTTTTATAAACATGACAAGTCTGAAACTCTGAATAAAAATGTGGTCCACCCATTTTACCCGTGACATCTACATTTAAACACGGATGCGGATACTAAGATGAAGTCCACACATGGATGGCATCAAATGGAGTAAAACTGAATAAAAACAAGTCCTAGCTACTTGATTTTGTTGTTATTCTCATATTCTAACTAAAATACTTCATTTCATCAATTTTCAGTATAAGATAAGACACTCAACGAATCATACCTAAGGGGCCTATTCTGGGACTGTGATAATTATGTTGGAGTTGGGATATAAAACTGTTATTCAACTTTTTTTTTTTAAACCCGGTTAAATCTGATCAAGGCAGCTGTGGTATTGATAACAGCCTTCTCTTAAAGAGAATGTTCATTAATTAAAAAAACTAACTTTAATGTCATTATTGCATAGGTGACACTTTGATTAGCCAAGGTTATCAAAAGCCAATGCTTGGAAACATTCGAAGTAATGATTATTAACAATTACAAAAAGCTTAGATACAGCCCCGACATAGCACCTACAAAGCTCTCCGGTCGCTGCTGAGATATGGCGTCACATGTTGAACATGATGTGCACAAGCAGACGATGTCCCATGACATCTCACACATTTTCAGTGCCTGTTTTGTCATTTTTTCTTCAGTTATTTCTCTTACTTCAATACCCTCAGGCGAAATGTTTAATCTGTTGCCTCACTCTAAACCCCGCGCATGGTATTATTTTGATGAAAAATGCAAGGATAACAAAAACAAGGAATCCGTCGCTTGTAAACAAAATAAGATGCCATTATATTTTCAACTGCATACACCGCGGCATGTTCGGCGTTTCAAGAGGGAACAAATGACGTCCATGCTATCATTCCGGAGGTTTTTTTATTTGAAAGTGTGGTTTCTTTGATTGTTCATTAACCCCTATCCCGTGTATTTACATACAAAAGAATTTAGTTGTTAGAATGGGGGTCATATCCCTTTTTGAATGTTGTAAAGTTCCATCACATTTATGTACACTGAACTCATTATAATTTGAGAAAAAAAGCATTGCAATTATGTTCATTCTTTATGGGATGTCGTCTGCTTGGGCAGGGTTGGTTCATAATGTGACGGCATTAAAACATCGTTATTTTTCAGGCGAATCTCTTGCATATCCCAGATGCTATGGAGGTTGTTTCATTTGTATTTTTATAAATCACCCGATATGTAGTTGACCTAAAACTTGCATGATGGCCATCTGTTAGCTTACCAGTTTCTAGTAATACGATATTTGCCACATTTGTGATTTTCTATAAACCCGTACTTTAATAGTGCCCCGAGTAATAACGAGTTTATCATCCGGCACACCTGATGATGCTCACTGATATACTTGTTACTCGGGTCAAGGTTTATTAGAAGCATCTCTTATGTAATTCCGCATAATAGTGAGAGATCCGTAAAACGACACCCCCAAAAGTGGTTTTCGATATTCAGTTCATTTAGATTATAGTGTGTTTAGCGTACCAGCAAAATATTATACCTTGGCGCAAAGTAAAGCAATAAACTATTAAGTATCGTGTGCCTTAAATTGCCCTTTCAAAGAAAATCACGAATATGGCAAATTACGTATCACTAGAAACTGTTAAGCTAACAGATGACCATCGTACAAGTTTGAGCTCAACTACATATCGGGTGATTTATAAAAAGACATATAAAACCAACTCCATAGCATCTAGGATATACGAGAGATCCGCCAGAAAAATAACGATGTTTTAATGACATCACATTATGAACCAAATCTTCCCAAGCAGACGACATCCCATAAAGAATAAACATAATTGCAATGCTATTATTTCTCAAATTATAATGAGTTCAGTGTATATAAATCTGATGGCATCTTACACCATTCAAAACGGGATATGACACCGATTCTGATGACTTAATTCTTGTATTTGTAAATACAAATGATTAGGGTTAATGAACAATCAAAGCAACCACACTTTCAAATTGGACCCCCCCCCCTGAATGAAAGCATGGACGGCATTTGTTCCCTCTTGAATTGAAACACCGAACATACCGCGGCGTATGCAGCTGGACATACAATGGCGTCTTTTTGTTTTGTTTACAAGCCTCGGACTCCTTTAATATTTTATCCCTGCATTTTTAATCAAAATAATACCATGCGCGGGGTTGAGAGTGAGGCAGTAGGGACTTTTAATACTGTGAGATTTAAGTAGTTTAGTAATGAGTACTGTATTTGTATGAACCAGGGACCTTACTCATTAGTATTTTATTTGTATGTCAGGAACTTTTGAATACATTTCGTTAACAATCAAAGAGAAATTGCAGGCAGTATGTCTTTCTACCGACATGACTGTAAAGCTGATGAAAAGTTGGCTTTAAATAATGATTTTTCTTTTTCTTCATATTTGTCTCGAAATGTCACTGTTCTGAAATATTTTCTTCTTCTCATTTGTAAATATTCCTAATGGTTTGATGTAAAAGGTTTATAATGTGTTTCATTCTAAAACATTTCATAACCTGAGCAGTTAAAATCTTTACTCTGTTAACTGTGAACTCCCCCCCCCCCCAAATAAAAAGGGTTAACTAGCTCATCTAATAATATATATATATATATGTATATTTACTACTTTGCATTTTACCCTTTCTGTATTCGAATGACGGCGACTGAAACTCACCAGGGTATTCTCCAAAGAGCTCCATACGAAGAGAAATATGGTCATGCCAGGTGTAAGGTAAAATGCGAACATATCGGCACAACATTGGCACGGGAAGGCGATTGTAAACCACGGTGTTTCGGTCACTATTGCCGGGAAAGATCTGAGGAAAACACGCAATATCAATTACTTGAGAATAGAACAACGTGTAAATTCAATGAGAGAGATAAATGCTAAGATTAACATCGTGAAAAAAAAAGGAATTGAGAAACGCTCAATAAACAAATCAAACGTGATTGGTAATCGACCAATTAACTGATTAGGGTCGAAGGGTGAGTAAATTGGTACCTACGTTGTCGTTGTCGGTGTTAGTGGGGTCTTTCACTGTATCAAAGGTAACACTATCCATACTGCAGGCAATCTTGAAGCTGGTTACCCACTGGGAATAATCCTCACGACCTTGTGTTGCCACTCTTATGATGCTGTACGTAGCTAAAAGATCAACCTGAGATTTGAATGATAATGATAATGATATCGAACATGGAAAAATTAAAAACTATGTTTGTATATACACATATATATACAACATTGTTGTATTATAAACAGGACATCTATATAAAACCCTACGGAGTTCCTTCATCAATTCCTCAACTTAGCAATTTGTTTTTGGATTTTTGGCATTCGTATCTTATTCTCCTTCCCTTTTACTTCTGTTTCAAGTAGGGGGAGGGGGGGGGGGGGGGTGGGTGTATTTTTCGGAATTTTTTGATATTTTCTGTTTATTTAATTAAAACTGTGCCCTTTATATAAATACATTTCTTCAAAAGAATGTAGATGTTGATTGGTTATGTGTTTCAATTGCGGGATAGCCTTTTCTTGCACGCTTGATCTGAAGTATTTATGTCTATTTGTGAATATGTATCTGTAGTAATACGGCTCAGCTCTCAGACTGGGTGTGTGCATAAAATACTTAATTAATACATGTATAATTGATAAATGCTGTTGGTCATGACCCCTCTATACGTCGGGATTAAATGTTAGATATATATATAGATATTTGAACAGATTTCCAGTCTGTCAGTGTTTTCGGAAGGAATTAATATTTGAAGGAGTAACAACGTGAGACAGGTTTCGTGTTGTGACGGAGAGATACTCTATATGTGCTTGAGAAGCTTTATGGAGTGAGACTTCAAACAAACAAGAAAGAAATTCACGAATAGAGACTGACCTGAATCCATTGGTTCAAATCGTTTGTTTTGGCAGACCATCCTCCAGTCAGGGCTCCGACTTTAGCTATGTTTAACCGTCCTCGAAAAGGACCGTGGTTGGCGTCGTACTCACTAGAAGCTGTCAAGCTCGAATCTGGGATCGCCCCACTTTCTAGGCCTAGAGGGCTGCCATCCTGGATAGGACCTTTTGTCAAAGAAAGAAACTTGACTTAAATGAAATAGATTAATCCCTTCTTACAAAAGTCATGTATCTTAAAAATAATACAAATTGGCCAGAGGTGCATAGTCTTTTAACTCAATAAATTTACTAGACCTCACTCATTGTTATTTTATTTTTTATAAACATGAAAAGTCGGCTGATGTTCTATTCTGAATAACAATTTGGTCCACCCATTTTACACGTGACATGTACATTTAAACACGGATGTGGGTACTAGGATGCAGTCCAGGGTAGATGGCATCAAAGGGAGTAAAACCCAACCAAAACAAGTCCGAGTTTCATAGTTTTGTTTTGATTATCTCATTCTATTCTTGCGATAATAATAACGTGTTAAATGATTATATTTCATCAATTTTCAATAATGGATAAGACAATGTACGGATCGTGCCATAGGTGCCTACTCTTGGTCTGTGAGGTCATTATTAAATTGTTTTTCTTAAACCCGGTTAAATCTGATCAAGGCAGCTGAGGTATGAATAACAACCTTCCAATAGTGTACCGAGTAATATCGAGTTTATCCTCTTGCACACCTGCTTGGTGGGTATAGCTGGTATACTTGTTACTCGGGTCAAGTTTTATAAGAAGCATCTCTTATGTAATTCGGCATACTGGTGAGAGATCCCTTACGACATCCCCAAAAGGGGATTTCGATAAAAGGTAATACATTTATAGCGTGTTTAGCGTACCATTAAAATATTCTACCGTTGCGCAAAATAGAGCATTAAACTTTAAATTGGACTTAGTAACATTGTTCAGATGAGAGAAAATGGTGCTCAGGTAGATACTTCAATGCTAGATGTACATCCTTTGTTATTTACTCTAGCTGTACACTGCTAATCTCAATCTCATACGACCATCAGACCGACATAAAATGGAAAGAGAGAGGCTAGGGAGTAAAGAACATGTATAGCGCCTCACTCCCCCGCCGTAAGTCGGCCCTGCTGCATCGCCGGGGCATAACGCATGATATAATCTGACCTTTTCTATTACATAATAGAACATAGTACATCAAATACCCCACAACATGAACAAAACAAAAAAAATGTAACAAAAACAAAACAAATCTATCCCTTGAAACGTTTTGCACATAAAATAACATTTATCACTACGCAACGCGGAAACACTTGATGATGTTTTGCCACTTTGCCATATGCTTCTCAAATTTGTTTTTCTTTTTTGCAATATCTTCTTCAGTGGATCTATAAGACAAAATATAATTATTAAATTGTTTCAAACTAGGCATACTCTCTTGATATTTACAACGTAAAATGAACTGTTTACCAAGTAAAGTAAGAAAATCAAAGGCTGAGGTGGCTTGCCTTTTTGGTTCAGTAATTCCAAATAAATTTATCCATTGTCCCGGGTGTCGCATTGCAAAAAGAGCACAGTGAGCTATTTTTCCTTCCTATACGTGCCTGCCATCCATTAGTTGGTATTAGGTTATTCATTAGTTGGTATTATAGGTTATTCAAAATGTTAAAGTGCGTATTTCGGAGTCTGGAGTCAATTGTAACATTTGCTGGTAGAGTGAAAAGATTTGACACTTGTCGCTCATTCATATTATACAGCTCATTGAAACGAGTAGATACCTTAGACATTTCTGGTTATTAAGTCTTAGAAAAGTTAGATAAAGTTGCTTCGTCATTTTGTTATGGATTTGTTTGAATTCGGAATCACAGATAACAGTAAGAAAATCTCTTAAATCTTTAACGAGATGGGGATAGTTTTGCTGCAAAAAGAAATGCTTCCATGCTCCTCTTTAACAAAAATAACAATCTAACAATACAAAATACTCAGTGAATTTTAGTCCCTAATCTTTAAAGTCTTTCCATCGCAGTGGACGTCCAAATTCATATCTGCAACTTTTACAAAACCTTTTTCTTTTATATCTGGTTTAAATATAGATTTCCCGTTTAATATGACAGTTTTGTTATTCCAAATACATTAGTTAGCCATATCGGTTTTCTATTCAAAAAATGTCCCTGAACCATTTTGACACTTCAATGTTTAAATATTTCATATCAAAATTACGATAAAAAATACATTTTCCGCCGACGGGTGACAATTTAAAGCATATGTTTTTCCAACCTATAGAATTTGACGTCAATAGTCTCGTAAGTTGGAACCCATTTAATCTTCTGAGCTTGAAGAATCGATTTAATACAAGCCATTTTTAAACCTCCCTCATTGTACTCCTTTACCAAGACTTCACGTTTTATTCTATCTGGGCCCCCCATACGAATTCGTACAGTACCGTGTTAACCTTATGAATAAATGAATCGGGAATGGACACAATGCTGGCTACATACAACAGCTGGGAAATAGCAACAATGTTAATTATTTGAATTTTTCCATATAGTGACAGATTCCTGGCTTTCCATAAGTTCAGTTGAGATTTGATAACATTCTTTGGAGTTGTGCAATTCTATCTTCGAAAGAGTAGGAGATATCGTTTCCGAGAATTGTCAAAACATTATCAAACTTTATATTTATTTGAATTGCTGGGTTTTGTACGTTAAAGTGTCCTATAAACATTTCCTTCGTCTTTTCGTAATTCAGTGAATGTGACGAACAAATTTAAAAATAATCAAGCATAGCCGTTAAATAAGAATATAATTCGAAATTGAACAAAAACCTGCTAGGTCGTCTGCGTCCATAGAAAATTTAATTTCGTCAATATTCTTTAACTTTGTGCCCTGGATATTTTGGTTTATTCTTACATTTATTGCCAGAGTTTATATAGCTAAAAAAAAAGAGGTACGGAGAAAGGGGGTCCCCTTTTCTTACTCCTTTTCCTACTGGATAAAATCCAGTTGAAATGCTATTGTTCATTAATCATTACGCAGCTATCCATGTCTTTGCAAAGAACATTTACAAAATTGCAACAATTATTTCGAAAATTGAAATATTTCAACACTTCTATTAGAAATTGATGATTTAGAGTTTACATTTAGACACATGTTTTGTAGTAAACTTTGTCCTATTTGTTACTTACCACAATGCCCTCCAGTCCAACAGATTGATAGAAGGACCAGAAGCAAAATAGTTGCGTCTTGTTCCATTGCTGAGAGCTGAGGCCGCCAAAAACACTCGAAATTATCAAATAGTAAACACCACAAAACAAGCAGTGAGGCGTATAGACTAGGCTGTCTTAGAATTGATCTGACCATCCATCTGAGGAGCTTTAAACAGTAAATGTAAATGATATTATATAACGGATATAAAGATACCAAACATCTGATTGAGCACAACTACAGGTATGAATTCACTATTATAGGGTGGGTTCTAGAATTTAAGAAATCTGATTGGTCAATTCGTCGCTGTTTTCACGAAGTGACGGTAGTGAAACGATTATTGACATCAAGTGGGCGTGCATTTATTTTTTCCCACCGTGCAAAACATCTCCCATCAAAAAATGATATCGCTTTTGCGTAATTCAATCTCAATAGGCGGGCGACAGATGTACTAATGCAAGGACGCAAAAGATGCGCATGAAGTTAACAACGAAAGCGCGCTTTTCCTCAATAGACATTTCAAAATACATTTTGAACGGTTTTTTTTTTTACTTAATGGGTTTTATTTGCCTTTTTAAGAATCCACAAATGGGATGCGGTATGTAACAACAAAAATTAACTGCCTAATTTTCGGGTCATGTTAAAACTATAGCTCCTCGGTGACCACAAGCCTGCACTACAGTTTTGAGATCACCTTGGGCCATAGTTTTAAATTTGCCCCTCAGAACAGTGAACTGTGAACGATTCGTGGAAGCCACTGGCTAGTGTAACGCCCCATGCAATATTAATTATCTGCGTCCTTCTAAATAACCGAAAGGCAAAATATTTAGGAGTACTTTGATTTGATTTGATTTGATTTATTTATATATTTATTCACGGTTAAAACCCAGTTCAGCTTTAAAGCTGTTTTACAATGGGGCCGTGCATATACAATAAAAATACAAAGTAATCACAAGAAAACATAAATTATGGCCGACCGCGATCACGTCCTATCACTCTTCCAGTCCCAACTACGCAGCCGCACCCTAGGAGCCGGACCAGGAGGTAACCAGCCAACGCCCACCCCCGGCCCCCCCCCACTCAGTGTTATTTAGGGTACGCATATGCGTGTTCCAACCGACCCCCCCTTTTCAGCAAAAGTCCGGTGTGTAAAGTCAATACGGCTCGACCTTTTTCTTTTGTATACGAGCCTTTTTCAGCACCCCCCCCCTTTCAGCAAAAGTCCGGTTTGTAAAGTCAATACGGGTCGACCTTTTTCTTTTGTTACGAAAAGGACATTTTGGCAACACGCATGGGGTCCGTCCGTTCTCGGAGTGGGGGGGGGGGGGCGGGCGCCCACCCCACCTGCCCAAGCGAGCCGTATCACTGTCAGGACGGACCTACCGCCTGTCCTGAAACAACGACGCGGCATCTTAGCTAACGAGGCCTACAATCTCCGAAAGGAACGAGGTCTATCAACCAGGATAATTGTTCAAGGCACCTCTGTGATCTTACAATGGAAAAACAAAGGCACCAACACATGGAATAATCACCAGGAATGATGTTTATCGAAACAACAAAAGCTGTAAGCATGAACTACGTATTTATTGTACGATAAAATACGCTTTTTGTTTTCTTTTTTCTTCTTTGCTGTATTTTTATAATATTACAGACTCTAATATACGCCGAAAGAGAATTTTGTTGTGAAAAATACTATGTGAGAAATAATGACTTTACATACAAAGAATGAACAATGATCAAATTATACATTTGATTGAACATTTATTTTAAACATGTTTGCCCATTAATACCTCTACACAACATTTTAAGGAAATGTATAATCACGAACGCGTACGAATATTCATCAGCGAAATATTTACACGCATGCAAAGAGTAAGATAGCTCCTAAGACGAGTACAGCTTCGAAGAGACTGAGGTTTTCTTTTTTGTTTACTCATCCAACGAATAAAGTGTTTGTGACATATTAGGGAGCAAAAAGCCACTCTACATACTTGTGAATATTTTTACTCATTCGGTCAATAAAGCTGGAGAATACTCATCCAATATTATATTACATGTACTTTAATGAGTAAAAAGACTCATCGAGAAAATAATCGGGTCACATAATCATTTTAAATATCATGTGTGTACAATTTCACTAAGAGAAAGGTGGTGTATTCACCAAATGTGTAAAATAATTCTCTCGACTAAATGAATTAGCTACGATTTTGACTCACCATACTTAGTTCCGTTTTTTTGTGTGTACACTTGTACTCATATAGACCTTGAAGGGTTCAATACCAATGCTAGATCCTGTATTCCGCACTGGACCGGGTTCGTCTAGTGACCAAAGCAGATCATTCCACACTCATAAAATAGAAGCGACAGATACTTTTAATTATTTCTCCTTAAATGGACATATTATAGTATGGTATTAATGACTGCTTTACCGAGGGCAATAGCTCGATTGTAACCTTCCCGAGAGCGTATAAAAACAACTATGTCTCGATAATTAAAGCAGTCATTAATACTTTTATATACCGAAAAGGGTCATAGAATACATGAACGACTTACCAATCATGATAATCAAGTTTGTTTACGCTATCGAGACAGAAGACTAACTGACTAAGCAGTGTAAGGCACAAGTTACATACACATACGTGTGTGGGACTATGAACGGGCTCGATTTTTTGTGTTACTGTAATGTGCTCAGAATTCCAGTAATTATTCTATTAAATGACTATAACAGGCAAGAAACAAGTCAAAGGTAAGGACAAGAATCAGTGCTTATCAATATAACAGAAATTTTGCATGAAATACCATCAGGAAAGCTATCTAAATTTGTCAGAAATTAGCGACAAACACACCAAATTCAGCGCTGCAATGACGCACAAAACGGCGTAGAATTCAACTTTTCATCCATCAAATGAATTCAAACACTTGCATTATACAATCTTCAAGACGTGAATCACCGTTATCGCAAGCAATACAATCACAATCTATATCTAGACCTAGATCTACGGCTAATAATAAGACCAATTCATTCACGTAGGGCCTACCCTTTTGGTATTCTTGCTGTCCAGCGACCAATTCTTCGCACACGTACACGTATGGTATCCGCGATCGCTCAAACCAGTTTTTAAGCAAGACTGAACTATTCCCGGTAACTTGAATTTTAGCCTCGAACTATTACATGAGCGTGGCATTTTTCGTTTATTTACGGGAATGGCTAAAACCATGACTGCAATTTCGACCAATCAGATGGCTGGATTTCTTAGGTGAGGTATATAATATAATATAGTATAGTAGTCGCTCAATGCAGAGAAAATCTATTTCATTTTCCACATAATATGAACAATTACAAGATAATCACAATGATAGAAGCGTAATGATATAACAGAAAATGAGCATGGAAATATCCTTGACATTGGTTTTTGTTTTTTTTAATCTTGCAATGCGAAATTATTTATTAGTTACCGGAAATGAAAAACGAAACTTCTTGGAAGCAATGCTTGTTTGGTGTAATTCACAAATATCGTTCTTGTTTTTGGTAGGTGATAAGAGCTAGCTCATCTTGTGGGATAACTATGGAATTTATTATTTTTGTTTCACATATTGGAGAGAATTTGAGGGGTGTCATTTTTCTGAAGTGTGTCCATAAATATTACAAGGTTTTTTTTTTTTTTTGTTGTTGATTTTTGTTGATTTTTTTTTGCACACATTGCTACATACCTTAAATAGATCTTGAAGAAATAAGAGGAGGTGGTGTCGCATTTTATGTCAATGAGCATTTACAATTTAAAATCCGAAAAGAACTATCGTTAAAACAAAATGAATCATTATTTATAAATATCATTAATCCAAACAACAAAAATATGATCGTTGAATTAATCTGATAGTCATACAAATTTATTTTGTGAAGATCTGGATAAATTCTTTCATACTCTTACTGGAGAAGGTAACACTTATATTTAATCGGTGACTTAAATATTGACCTGTTATCTAATAGTAGATACTAGGATACACTTCTTTATATTAATTATTCTAATAATTGTTATCCACATATAAATAAACCAACTAGAATTGATGGTCGATCTTTGACCCTCATAGAAAATATGACCACTGGATTAATAACTTCTGATATATCTGATCATTTGCCAATGTTTGTGATAAGTAATAATGACATTTCAATGAGAAAGTCTGCTAAATCAAACATACAGAAAAGAAACACCCCAATATAGTGTATCATTCAAAAGTGATCTACCAACAAAGAATGGTTGAATGTCTTTGAGGAATCAAATGCAGATATGGCATACAACAAAATTAATAAAACATTACAGATATATTATAACAAAAATTTCCCTCTAGTATCAGCTAACAAGAAAAATAAGCGTTGTAAAATTCCATGGATTCTACGATCGATACACACAAGGAATAAACTGCACAAGGCTTATCAAAATAAAGTCTACTATTCATAACAAAAAATATAAAAACATACCAAATTAAATGAACGAACATCATTCGAAACTCTCTAAAATGTACTATTTCGACAAACGTAATAGAGTGAAATCAAATATGAAATTTACCTGGGAGATTATAAATCATTTGATTAGAAAGAAAACAAAAAAATACCCAATGGAAATTTTACAATAAAGGATACAGTTATAAAGTCTGAAGATATAACCGATACCTTTAATTCTCATTTGTAAAGATAGGATCTTATTTGTCAGATAAATTTGATACACCGAACGAAAATTTACTACATTTCTTCCTGAACTTTCAAATTCATCATTGTCTTTTAATCCCCCTTATCCAAATAACCGAAATAACAAAAAAAATTAAATTAAGTAGATTACAAGGTCACGCTAGAATTAGTACTTTCGTTTTTAAACACATTATACACCTTATCACTTTTCCTTTAACTCACATTTTTAATCTATCAATTAATACCGGAAAGTGTCCCGAGTCCTTAAAATTAGCTAAGGTAAATCCTGTTTTTAAAATTGAAAATCCTCACGAAATAAATAATTACAGGCCTATTTGTATTCGTCCCAGTATATCCAAAATCCTAGAAAATAATATTTACAATAGGATCTATAAGTTTTAAATACTTTTCATTTCCTAAATCTAAACAAATATGGTTTCAAAAAAAGACATTCAACCTACCAAGCTTTAGTACAATTATATGATAAAATAACGAATGCTATGGCCAATTAAGA